ACCCAGCTGAACAGCAATCATTAAAAAAAAAGAAAAGAAAAGAAATTTTAAAATGAGCATAGGTTGTAAAACCTCTGGGACAACATCCAGCAGATTAACATTTGCATTATCAGGGTCCCAGAAAGAGAAGAAAGAAAGGGGCAAAACACTTATTTGAAGAAATAATAGCTAAAAACTTCCCTAACCCTTGGGAAGAAAATAGATATCCAGGTCCAGGAATCACAGAGAGCCCCAAACAAGATGAACCCAAGGAAGCCCACATCAAGACACTTAAAAACCAACAGGTAAAAAAATAATGATAAAGAATCTAAAGAACAACAAAAAGAAAGCAAAATGGTTTATACAAGGGAAACCCCAAAAGGCTATCAGCTTGTTTTTCAGCAGAAACTGCAAGCCTGAAGTGAGTGGCATGATATATTCAAAATGCAGAAAGGAAAAACCCTACAACTAAGAATACTCTACCTGGCAAGATTATCATTTAGAACTGAAGGAGAGTTAGTTTTCCAGACAAAAATTAAAAATTAAAAAAGCTGATCAGCACTTAACCAGCCTTACAAGAAATGTTAAAAGGACTTCTTTAAGTGGAAAAGGAAATGCCATAAATAGAAGAAAATTATGAAGGGAAAAATTTCACTGTAAAAGCAAATATATAACAAAGGTAGTAGATCAATTATTTATAAAGCCAGTATAAAATTTAAAAAAAAGTAGTGAAATCATATTTTAAATCAGTTAAGGGAAACACAACATTTAAAAAATGTAAAATATGGTATCTGTATATAAAATATACGGGGAGGGAGTAAAATCGTAGAGCTTTTAGAATGTGTTTAAACATAGGCAACCATCAACTTAATATAGACTGCTATATACAGCAAATATTACGTGATTCTCATGTAACCACAAACCAAAATCTCATCATAGATATACAAAAACTAAAGAGAAAGTGATCCAAGCATAACACTAAAGAAAGTTATCAAATCACAAGAAAAAAGAACAAGAAAGGAACAGAGAAGAATTAGAAAACAATGCCCAAAATAACAAGAAGTACATACCAATCAATAATTACTTTAAACATAAATAGACTAAATGCTCCAATCAAAAGACACAGGGTGACTAGATGGGTGAAAAAAGCAAGACCCACGTATATGCTGCCTCCAAGGGACTCCACTGTAGACCCAAAATCAAATACAGACTGAAAGCACAAAGATGGAAAAAATATTCCATGCAAATGGAAGTGAAAAGAAAAGCTAGGGTAACAATATTTCTATCAGACAAAATGGACTTTATATATATATTTTTAAGATTTATTTATTTTAGAGAGAAAGAGTATGCACAAGTGGGGGAAGGGACAGAGGGGGAGAGAGAATCCTCAAGCAGACTCCCCACTGATTATGGAGCCCTACTCGGGGCTCGATCCCAGGACCCTGAGATCATGACCTCAGCCAAATCAATGCTCAATGGACTGAGCCACCTAGGCATCCCAAACAAAATAGACTTTAGAACAAATACTGTAAGAAGAGACAAGGGCATTATGTAATGATAAAGCAAACAATCCAACAAGAGGTTATAACAATTGTAAATCTCTATGCACCCAATATAGGAGCACCTAAATTTATAACGCCAATATTAAGAGATATAAAGGAAGAAACTGACAGTAATATAGTAATAGAAGGGGGCTTTAACACCCCACTTATGTCAGTGGACAGATCATCCAGACAGAAAATCAATAAGGAAACAGTGACTTTGAATGACCCATGAGAACAGGTGGACTTAACAGCTACATTCAGAACATTTTATCCTAAAGCAGCAGAATACACATTTTTCTCAAGTGTACATGGAACATTCTCCAGGATAGATTTCATGTTGGGCCACAAAACAAACCTCAATAAATGTAAGGAGTTTGAAATCATATTAAGCATCTTTTCTTTTTAAAGATTTTATTTATTTATTTGACAGAGAGAGGGAGCATGCTCACAAGCAGTGGGGAGGGGCAGAGAGAGAGAGCATGAGTCGTAGTGGGGAGAGGGACAAGCAGACTCCCCCACCGAGCAAGGAGCCGGATACGGGGTTTGATCCCAGGACCCCAGGATCATGACCTGAGCTGAAGGCAGATGCTTAACTGACTGAGCCACCCAGGCATCCTCAAGCATCTTTTCTGACCACAATGGTATGAAACTAGAAATCAATTACAAGAATAAAACTGGAAAAAAAACACAAACAAGTGGAAGCTAAACAACCGGCTACTAACCAACCAATGGGTCAATAAAAACATCAGAGAGGAAATCAAAAAATACGTGGAGACAAATGAAAATGGAAACACAAAGGGTCAAAATCTTTGGGATGCAGCAAAAGCAGTTCTAAGAGGGAAGTTTATAGTGACACAAGCCTACCACAAGGAACAAGAAAAATATTAAATAAACCTAAACTTACTCCTAAAGGAATTAGAAAAAGAACAAACAAAAGCCAAATTTAGTAGAAGGAGGAAATAATAAAGATCAGAGCCAAAATAAATGGAGACTTAAGAAAATAGAAAATAACTATGAAACTAAAAGCTGGTTCTTTGAAAAGATAGACAAAATTGATAGAGCTTTAGCCAGACTCATCAAGAAAAGGAGACAGGACTCAAATACATAAAATCAGAAAGAGGGAAGTTACAACAGACATCACAGAAATACAAAGGATTATAAGAGACTATTACAAGAAATTATAAGCCAACAAATTGGACAACCTATAAGAAATGAATCTGTAGAAACATATGACCTTCCAGACTGAATCAGAAAGAAAGAAAAAATCTGAAAAGACCGAACACTAGTAACACAATTGGATTAATAATCAAAGAACTCCCAACAAAGTACACAACCAAATGGCTTCCCAGGGGAATTCTTCCAAATATTTAAAGAAGAGTTAATATCCATCCTCCTCAAATTACAAATACACAAAGATCAAAGGCACAGAGTAGAGAGCCAGAAATAAGCCCGTGTTTATATGGTCAGTTCAATGGGGAAAACAGTCTCTTCAGTAAATGGCACTGAGAAACTGGACAGCTACATGGAAAAGAATGAAGCTGAACCACTTTCTTATATCATACAGAAAAATCAAGTCGAAATGGGTTAAAGACGTAAAAGTGATAACTGAATCTATAAAAATCCTAAAAGAAAACATAGGCAGTAAACTCTTAGACAATGGTCTTAGCAATATTTTTCAGACAAGGGAAACCAAGGCAAAAATAAACAATTTTCCATCAAGAAAATGGAAAGGCAACCTCCATAGATCAGTGGAACAGATAGAGAGCTCAGAAATAAACCCATGTGTATATGGTCAATAATCTATGACAAAGGAGCCAAAAGTAGACAATGGGAAAAAGACAGTGTTTTCAGTAAATGGTGTTGGGGAAACTGGACAGCTATATGCAGAAGAATGAAACTGGACCCCTACCTCAAACCACTCACAAAAATTAGCTTGAAATGTATTAAAAACTTGAACATAAGGGCTGAAACCATAAAACTTCTAGAAGAAAACATAGGTGGTCAGGTTCTACACATCAGTCATGGCAATGATGTTTTGGCTTTGACACCAAAACCAAAGTAAATAAGTAGGACTATATCAAAACAAAAAGCTTCTGTACATTAAAGGAAATCATCAACAAAATGAAAAGGCAACATATGAAATAGAAAATATTTGCACATTATGTATCTGGTCAGGGGTTAATATCTAAAATGGATGAAGAACTCATACAAGTCAATAACAAAAAGCAAAAACAAAACCCATCCAAAAACAAACACACACAAAAAACAATCCAATTAAAAAATGGGCAGGGGAACTGAATAGACAGTTTTTCCAAAAGAAGAAATGCAAATAGCCAACAGGTACACGAAGCACTCCTTAGGCTTAGCTAATAGCTCCTAAGGTAGAGTAGATATCCTTTATGTGAGTACATTTTTCTGGGAAAAGTATGGTCATGATGTTTTCAGAAACCACGGGTCAAATTCTGTATTTTAGGCCTGAAGCTCCCCTAACCCTGTAGTATAATAATTTCTATTCCTTTCTTATGAGAAATGAACAGTAAGATTGGCTACTGTCTGTTGTCCATATATAAATCATACTATGTTGGTATGTGCATCTTTCCTAGAAGTAAAAATTATATAGATGATACAAATGTACCTATTACAGGGGCGCCTGGGTGGGTCAATCAGTTAAGCGTCTGCCTTCGGCTGAGATCATGATCCCAGGGTCCTGGGATCAAGCCCTGCGTCAGGGTCCCTGCTTGGCGGGGAGTCTGCTTCTCCCTCTCCCTCTGCCCCTCCCCCCACTTGTGCTCTTTGAAATAAATAAATAAAATCTTTTAAAAAAACAAAAACAAATGTACCTGTTTCAATGGAGAGATCACGTAAAACTTACTTACTATTTTATTGATATTAGAGACCAGAGAAGAATGTCTTCAGATAAGAGAATATTGCTGGCTTTGACCATGACCCAGATACTGAAAGAGCCAGACCACATCCTCTCTTTCAAGCATTTGAGGGCACAGGCATCTGTGTATCCCACTTAAAAGGGGGGGGGGGGCGCGGTGAACATGTATGTGTGCATATTGTAGAAATGCTCCAGAACCGCTGGGTCTTGTGGCAAAAAAAAAAAAATGTTCACCAGTGGAGGACTAAAATTAGTTTGGGCATTTGACTGATCTCTATCCCCTGACTCCTTGAAATTGTTTCTATTTGCTGAATATTAAAGACTGAGCCAGGCTAGGTTTGGGCCAGGCTATGAGATTCACGGATTTGCTATTGGATACCAGCTAGTTGAAGATCCATGGTGATCAGTGTCTTCCAAATTGCCAACTCCCTTTTTGGTCTCCAGCTTTGTTCCACTGGTTCTAAGTATCAGAGTTTTCTAAATAGGTCGTATGATACTAATTAAGCAATTGGTCGAAACCAGAATATTTACTATATGTTAAGGGTATTGTGGAAAGCATGTACTGAACGTGGTGTCTGTGATCTTCTTTCCAGAAGGATGTTTTCCATGATCTCGGCAGGCAGATTCTGGACAGCGCTTGGCAAGGCTATAATGCCACCCTCCTAGCCTATGGCCAAACTGGCTCTGGAAAAAGCTATTCCATGGTTGGGTTTGGTGCAAACAAGGGTATTATTCCAAATGTGTGCGAGGAGCTCTTTGAAGCAATTGAGAAGCGGGAGGGGAATGAAGAATACCAGGTATGCATTATCCGAAAATCCCTTCTTCCAGGAATTTCTTTTTTTCATTTTGGAAATTCCTGGCTCCAAATGAACAGCATCTCTATTTCAGGATAATGTTAATTTTCCATACCAAAATCTTCTCAGGATTGCAAAATCAAGTTGCAGCTAACTAGAATGCTGACCTTTTCTGGTTCTATGGAGGCAAACCCAAAGGCACTTCGAGTATCCTAGAAGCAGATGTCTTAAAGCTAACACTCATGAGAGACTGTTGTTGAGGCTGATAGAACAAGACCCTTGCTGACTTGCCGATGGCTTCCTTTACTCCCCTCTTCTACCAAGGCTGTGGGTGTGTGCTCATTTTCATTTCTTTCTTTTTTTTTTTAAAGTAGGCTCCACACCTGTGGAGCCCAGTGTGGGGCTCGATCCTGAGATCGAGACCTGAGCTGAGATAAAGAGTTGGATGCTTTACTGACTGAGCCACCCAGGCACCCTGTGGCATCCTGTTTTTTCATGGAGAGCATTCTTTCTCTCTCCGAAGCTATGAGTTATAGGACTTTAAAGAACGTTTCTTCTACTCCATGCATCATCTGCTTTCTCGGAGTTCCTTTTTTCTACTGTTTGTTTGATCTCTCATATTGGAGCCTTTCCTTGTCTGCTAATCTTAGGCCATTGGTTTAAAACATGTGACACTCAAGCTCGTTGGAAGCTCTGGGGACATTCGAGGTGACTGGGAAGACCCACCACTGGGAAACGAAACCCACAAGCCCGCCTGCTCATGGGTGGCGGTGGCAAATGTCCGTATCTTAGGGCCTTTACTCTATGCTAGAGCCATTCTGATTCCTCTAGCCTCCCACATACAGAGTGTCGGCTTGTCCAGAAATATTCCAGAAGGAATACACAGTAGGATAAAGACCAGTCTTTTTCTCTACATATGTTCAGATTGGGAGTGAGTAATAAAGAATAACCTTTTTCTGTTGCCAAGCAAGACCGAAATACATACACACAGGGTTGTGTATATGTTTTTAATTTATATTAAGAACTTCTTCCATATCATTAAAATTATGTGAGAATCATTTATTGCATGTGAATTAGCATTACTATATTTTTAAAAGATTTTATTTATTTATTTAAGAGAGAGAGAGCACAAGCAGGGTGAGGGGCAGAGGGAGAGGGAGACTCCCCGTGAGCAGGGAGCCGGACACAGGGCTTGATCCCAGGACCCTGGGATCATGACCTGAACCAAATGCAAGACGCTTCACCTACTGAGCCACCCAGGTGCCCCAAGCACTACTATATTCAATATTAGCTTCTCCCTTTGTTGGAAATTTATATTGTTCCTATATGACTTTTTTCCCCAAAGATGAGGTTCCAGAGAATATTAACTTTATGCTCTTTTCTTATACAGGTTATGTTCAGTATGCTGGAAATTTACAACGAGCAGGTAACAGTGATTGTATTCTCTGACACACACACCTGAGGGACTCTGCAGCCAGAGTCTCCCCCTCCCCCACTACAGCTAGAGTCCCAACTCCGTAGCCCACCGTGGGCTACAGCCCTGTCCTACCTCTCCGGCTCCACTTCTTGCCCTTTTAACTCCACACAGTCTATGCTTCTGCCACATAAATGTCTTCCTCTCCGGAACATGTCATTCTTCCCAACATCTACCCTTCTCTGCTCTTCCAGGGTCCACTCCCCTACCCATCCAGTTGACCTCAGTCAGCATGTGGGGCAGAGGAATGGCAAACTTTGTTTTCAAAGGGCCAGATGGTTTGTGCTGCAACTATTCACCTCCCCCCCACCCAGCACAATGGAGTACGGGGCGGGGTGGGGGGAGGGTTCCAATGGGGCACAGTTCTTGGACACTGAAACTTGAATTTCACATAATTTTTGATGTCCGGCTGAGAGCCAGTGGTCAAGAAAGAATTCTTGAGATGCTTTCGGTGCAAAGAGGTGCTTTTGTTAGAGTAAGGCAACAGGACTCTTGGGCAGAAAAAGCTGCCCCAGGGTTATGAGGAGTGGCTGATTATGGACTTCTGTTAGCGGGGTTTAGGGACAGGTAAGTTTCTAAGGAATTTGTGCATGTTAGAAGCAAGGCCTCCAGGACGCTGGATGTGTTAAGGTTGCTTAAATCTTTAAAGATACATCAACATTAAGGCAGCCATGATTTCCTTGCGGAATGCCACACTTTGCAACTTAGGCTGCAAGTTGTAAGGAAATTTAATTTCAGCTGCATTTCTCTTGCCTTTGTTCTTCTCATCAATTTTCACATGTCACAAAATTTTTTTTTTTTTAAAGATTTTGTCAGAGAGAGAGTGCATGAGCAGGGGGAGAGGCAGAGGGAAAAGCAGACTCCGTGCTGAGCAAAGAGGCCCATGTGGGACTCGATCCCAGGACCCTGGGATCATGACCGACCCGAAGGCAGACGTTTAACCAGGCATCCCCAAAATATTTTTCTTTTGATTTTTTTCAGTCACTTAAAAATGTGGAAACCATTCTTATATCAAGGATCCTACAAAAACAGGTGGCTGGCTGAATTTAGTGCCCACACCATGGTATGCCTGTCCCTGGGGTGGTTGGAAAGAGCATGATCTCAGACCCCACCTCTCTCATTGAGTAGCCATGTGACTTTGGAAAATCACTTTATCTCAGAGCTCAGTTTTGTCATTTATAGAGAATTTAAAATAAGACACCACACATTGAGGTGCACTGTTTTAAATTTCTAACTCAGAGCTTAGAAAATACCAGATATTCATTGCCCTTTCCCCCTGAATTGATCATACTATACTGTGAAATTTTATTTACATATTTGTGTCTCCAGAACAGATCATGTCCTTGTGAACATCTTTCAATATGAAATACCCTCTCAATACTCAGTGCACTTGTAGGTTTAGAATGGGTGCTCCTGAATATTTACTGAGTGGATGAATTGACAAAGGCATCTAAAACTGTAAGTTTCTTATAGGAGACCATATCCTAATAGTTTTTGTGTAACCCCAAGCACTATCCAAAGCCTTGTACTTAATCATTCCTAAATAAATATTAAAGGAATTAATCTGTCAGTGTTTTTCTCTTTATATTAAAGAAAGAAAATATCCAATTTGTTTCTTACACTCTTTCATGAGTGTAAGGTTACCATTGAAGGTTGATAGTAAATTCAATGGGTTCTTTTTTTAAAAGATTTTAAATTCCAATTAGTTAACATATTAGCTTCAGGTATACAATATCGTGATTCAACACTTCCCTACATCAACCGGTGCTCATCACGACAGGTGCACTCCTTAATCCCCATCACCTGATTCACCCATCTCCCCACCCATCTCCCCATCTCCCCTCTGGTGACCAGCAGTTTGTTCTCTAGAGTTTAAGAGTCTGTTTTTTTGTTTCTCTCTCTTTATTTTCCCTTTGCTCATCTGTTTTGTTTCTTAAGTTCCACATGAGTGAAATCATATGGTATTTGTCCTTCTCTGAATGGCTATTTTGCTTAGCATAATACTTTCTAGCTCCATCCATGTCATTGCAAATGGCAAGATTTCATTCTTTTTTATGGCTGAGTAATGTTCCATTGTGTATATATTCATACACCACTTCTTCTTTACCCAATCATCAGTCAGTGGACACTTGGGGTTTCCATATTTTGGCTATTGTAGATAACGCTGCTATAAACATTGGGGTGCATGTATCCCTTTTTATTAATTTTTTGTATTCTTTGGGTTAAACACCCAGTGGTGCAATTGTTGGATCATAGGGTAGTTCTATTTTTAACTTTTTGAGGAACCTCCGTACTGCCCTCCACAGTGGCTTACCCAACAAGGTAAGAGGGTTCCCCTTTCTCCACTTCCTCATCAACATCTGTTGTTTTTTGTGTTTTTGATTTTAGCCATTCTGACAGGTGTGATGTGATATCTCATTGTGGTTTTTATTTGCATTTCCTTGATGATGAGTGATGTTGAGCATCTTTTCATGTGTCTGTTGGCCATCTGTGTGTCTTCTTTGGAGAACTGTTCATGTCTTCTGCCCTTTTTAAATTTGGATTATTCATTTTTGGGTGTGTTGAGTTTTATCAGTTCTTTATATATTTTGGATAATAACCCTTTTAAATATCTTCTCCCATTCAGTAGGTTGACTTTTAATTTTATTGATTGTTTCCTTTGCTGTGCAGAAACTTTTTATTTTGATGAAGTCCCAGTAATTTCTTTTTGCTTTTGTTTCCCTTGCCTCAGGAGACGTATCTGGAAAGAAGTTGTTATGGCCTATGTCAAAGAGGTTATTGCCTGTGTTCTCCTCTAGGACTTTTATGGTTTCCTGTCTCACGTTTACGTCTTTAATCCATTTTGAATTTATTTTTGTGTACTGTGTAAGAAAGTGGTCCAGTTTCATTCTTCTGCATATCGCTGTCCAATTTTCCCAACACCATTTGTTGAAGAGACTGTCTTTTTCCCATTGGATATTCTTTCCTACTTTGTCGAAGATTAATTGACCATATAGTTGTGGGTTCCAAATGGGTTCTTCTGTTAAGGTCACTGATCAAGTTTCTATTTCTTTCAAGTTGCTAAGGCTTGGAAGACAGTGTGACTCCTTTATTTTGTACCAATGACTTTGGGAGGACAATTTAATTTCCTTTGTTACCAAGTTCTGGTGGGCCTCTCACTGTGGTCTCCCTTCTGAAATCTGTTTATGATGATGGTCTGTATGGAATTCTGTTTCCTCATCTCTAAAATAAGAACACTGGACATCCTGGGGTGACTGGGTGGCTCAGTTGGTTAAGTGTCTGCCTTGGGCTCAGGTCGTGATCCCGGGGTCCTGGGATAGAGCCCCGTGTAGGGCTCCCTGCTCATCTGAGGATGAGTTAATCCTTGGACTTAATTCCCACCATGGAGGAGTCTAGTTGGAGCTACAATACCCTCTCCAGACAGTGATGTATGACATGTGCGCCATGAATGGCGAAGAGCAAGGGGCAGAGAGGACAGAGTACATGACTACCTGGGATGTTTGGCAGCAATGGTCAATGCTGGACTTAGACAGGACCTCGAAAAATGTGTAGGAGTTTGGTGAGGCAGCCAGAGGGTTGGGGACACAGACAGGGGCACTTTAGGCAGGATTAGTTTTTGGGGGTTTTTTTAAAGATTTTATTTATTTTTATTTATTTGAGAGAGAGAGAGAGAGAAACAGCATGAGAGGGGATAGGGTCAGAGGCAGAAGCAGGCTCCCCGCCGAGCTGGGAGCCCGACGCGGGACTCGATCCCAGGACTCTGGGATCATGACCTGAGCCGAAGGCAGTCGCTTAACCAACTGAGCCACCCAGGCACCCTAGGCAGGATTAGTTTTAACAAGTCCAAAAATACATGAAAGTGCATGGCATTTAAAGGAACAGTCAGTACCCTGTGTAGCCAGAGTTGGATACATGGTGGGGGTCTGCCAGAAGTAAAGGGACTTTGTCCCAGAGGCAGTAGAGAATCCGTGGAGGGTTTTATAGGGAAATCAGATAATCAGATTGGGATTCTAGAAGAGTTCTCTAGCAGCAAAGTGAAGTTGGATTTGAAGTGTGTCAAAAAGAGGCACAGTTAGGGGATTCTCAGGAAAGCCCAGATGAGTGAAGGTCTTGTGACAATCACCAATTTTGATCTCCAGGCACAACATGGAGGGTCCCGGCACCAGGATCCACCCTTGTCTCTGGGTGCCCATACTTCCACTCCACCCAGATGAATCTACTTAGCTTTTTTCTAATAAGCCTTACTCAGTCCTATCTTCAGCCTTAGATGCCCCTTCCAACAATTTGTATGTTAGAGGAAAGGCTTCCTAGCTACACCAGAAGTGGTCTCTGTTTTTATATCTCCTTATCTCTGTCACCTTATGTCCACTGTCTTAGTTTGGCTTGCCCAAACTTCAATCTGTGATCTTGCCTTGGCTCTAGGACGAAAAGCTGTAGAATACCAGAGCTGGGGGATTTCTTGGAGATAATTTAATCCACCTCTACCATTATGAATACTGGGAAAGTAAGAGATTTTCCAAAGCACTCCCAGGTTAGAGGCAGAACCAGGACTGATAACCCAGGTCTTCAGGCTCCCAGTCCAGACATCTCTGCACCATATAACACTGGCCACCCCTCTGGGGCCTCTGGCTCTACCAGAATCCCACAGTAGGACCTAGTTGGCCTTGTCAGGGGTGACTTTTCTTGGATGAGAGGCAACATGGGCTTTCACCCAAAGCCATGGTCTATGTGTGACATCTCACAATTCTCCAATAATAAGATTCAAAGAATCACCCATATTCTCCTGTTAGGTTTGACTGTAGCAAATACTGTTTGGATTGAATTAGTTTCCGTTGGAAGTAGAGAGTTCAGGGTGGTGGCATTTGTGGGCACATGATCTCACCTAGGCAGACCATGCCTTCTGCTTTCATTAGGTACTTAGAAAGTTACTATCTACTATTTATTTTTATTTT